CGCTTGCAATTACCTTGCTCACAAAGACAATACATGTTTATCCAAAACACTTCTAATGCTGTGTCTCCTCCCTATAGCGTGACTATATTATAGACACTGCAAAGAGGGGTTAAAGTTGTTAAAATCAACAGCACAGTACCATTCCCTCTAAATAAACTGTCGCAATGAAAATTAGAAGTGATCAGGATAGTGATAAGAGCCTGGCCACGAGCCAAAGCCAACAGCCCGGTTCCTTCACATGCTTCACACTAGTGCTGTCAGTCAAAGGTAAATATTCCTTTATTTGGCTGTTATTTGCAGCCATTTGAGGCTACAGTTATCAGATGGTGCTAAATGAGCCCAGCATCTGCCTCTTTCATTGAGGCCACTGTGAAGTAGGGTTATCAGATGGCGTTAAATGCGGTCTGTTTCAGTGCAATGACTGGTACCACCTCCCCGTGGGTAAAAATGGGAGGTTTGTCTGGGCTGAACGGGGGATATATGTTGGGGTGTTGGTGGATTTAGCATCAGGGGAAAGGTCATGTCTGGGAAAAAAGTGAAAGAAGAAGAAGAAAAGAAAAAAAGAAAGCAGCCAGGGTCCCATGCAAGAAGTTCAGCACAGCTGCCATAATCCATCAACAACATAAAAAAAAGGGACAAGGGGAGAAATATGTATTTCATTGTGTTCCTACAACAGACTCGGGGGACTGTGGTGTTCAAAAAGCAGCATTAATATGTCAAAAGCTTTGCCCTCAGCAGCAACAACAATGCAAGTCAATAGAGAGCATGCACAGAGAGGTATAACAGTGGAGGAGGGATGGGGATGTTGGTGTGGAGGATGGAAATGATGGGAAACTGACTCTGCATCCTGTTTTTCTTTCAGTATTGTTTCCTTCCCCACTTGACCTGGACCATGGGGGGCTTTACGTGTGAATGCGTGTGAGCACTGGAAGGTAAAGCGCAGGAACTATGGGGTGTGAACTTCCACCTGTCTCAAACTTGTCAATCTAACTTGTGAACTTAACAATACAGAATAGAATACAAACACTAATGATTTCTTCTGTTTTTGTTCTATTTTTCTTCTGCACCTTTGTCTTGCTCTTGTCAAGCGAGCAAAGCATTTCTTGAACTTGAAACTGAAATTTGTTGCAGCACATAGGAAGAGATTTTCTTAGCTATGGACTGTAGCCGGGTCATTTTTCACTGAACACTGCATTGAAAGTTCATAATGTTAAAAGTTGGTTTATTGTGCAAATCTCCTCACTTTGAGCTCCACTATGCTCTTGTTGTCCTTAGAAGTGAGCTTAGGGTCCTGGAATAGCGGGTCCTCCACATAGATCATATCCAACTGTTTAGTTGAATAGCCGTCCAGGACAAATGACACCCTGGTGATGACCGGCGGCTGCATGCCCAGTTTGACCAGAGAGGGTGTTGTGCACTGGATGGAAGTCTGATTTTCACCATACACACAGCTCTGGTGGAAAGACAGGTGGGACAATAGACAGATAAAAATGCATTAGACCACTGTGGAAATGCAGACACCTTTCAAGATCATTTTAGTTCATTGAAAAAACAGAACAAAACCAAAACCATAGCAAACTACTCAGGTACTCTGGGGAAAAAACACTTTCCTTGTTAAACTCCAGGGTGTTTCTTTTATTAAGAAGCTTACAAGCTCTGATGTAAGGTTGCAAGGAATTAAGATAATAATGTCTGGGTGATCAGAGACACATGTTCACAAATAAAGGAATCCAAGTTATTTGTAGACACTATATCAAAATATATCTTACTTTTTCCAGATTTATGTACTATTTCTTTTCTCTGTATCTGACTACAGAAGAACCATTCAAATGATCCAATTTAGATTTATGGAAATCTATTCTCAGCTTCTTGTTGTGACTTAAAACAGTGTAAAAAAGAAAAAAAGGGCCATTCAAAAATAGTCCAAACTGCATAAAACCAACTCCCTTTCTTGACTGCTCGCTCTAAGCTTAACCTTTAATGATACATAAAGAGCAGCAACCATTAAAAAACCACAACAAATTGATTTTTGGCACCTCTCTGACCCAGTCTTTAAAATTACAGACACACATCTGCACGCATGCAACTCTTCAACTACTCTTGATACTTGGTACTGGGTTAAGCTCTTGATTCAGTCACTCTGTAGAGCAACGATGTAATAATTCTTCATTTGGGAGCTTCTCTTACACTCAACACATTACATGGGACTGTGCCTGCTGTCAGCCACTGCTGTGTTTACACGTGTAGCCTAGGGGCACAACAGAGTTTTATCCTTTGTTGGATTCCACCCACATAGGCCTCACAGCTTTTGTGCTCACTAAGGCCCCCAGTGAGAGACAGACAGCTTGGAAAATAGAAAACAGCCCTTTGAGGTGTGGCAGTTTCATGTTGTTTAACATTAATAAAGGTATCCAACAGGGATTGAGACACTGAGGCTGACATCTCCAGGCAGAGATCTAAACACGATGTGGTTGACTTAAGGTCTAAAGCTGGACTTTGTGTCTTTGTATATCCATATGATGTTGCACGGTGTGCTTATATAAGGGAAACATGAAATGTTAGAGTGCCACAGATTCACGTAAGGGAAATCCACTGCAAAGACAGTACGACAGAGGTCAGCACTAACCTACTACTATGCTGAACATCTGCATGTTGGTTTCTGTACATATCACTGCAATTGCAATACTAATCTGAAAGTTTTTCACATGCCTTCACATTTAAGCTAATAATGATTACACAATGATTTGCTAACTTATCTTCTCCCTGTAACCATGCTGTTTTATTTTTTGGACTAAAGGAGACAACACTGGATTTAGGTTTATGTCCAGACTCCGGTACAGAGGTCAAGCTTAGAGAATAAAAGAAAGGGTTTAGCCATTACACAAAGCAAATACCCATGCAAGTGACAGAAAGCCGTTAGAAAGTGTGATGGCATTATATGCTTCCATGTAGGTGCTCACAGAACAAACCATATTTGCTTGTCTGTGTGCTGAAAGATCAATGTTGATATTTGCTCTTTGGTAATGACAGACTGTGTTTATCTTCTGGGTTACAAAAGTAGATGTGTCCTTGAGAGCAGGAGTGGGAGGTGGAAAAACACCTGCTGTGCAGGCACACGGATGTTTTTGTGAGTCTTTACTGTCATTTAATGAAGTTCTTTAGGGACACAGAGAAGCACCACGGAGATTTTTAACTTCTATTTATACAGGAAGTGAAACTCTTGAAATAAAGAATCTCTCTTGTGACAGTGTCCAGGGCCAAAATGGGGAGGATATGCCATGGATGGTTTTCAGTTGCTCTAAAGCAATAGTGCAATTTTTCCCCCCCTGAAAAACAAAGAAGCATATTTAACATCCTTTGTATTTTCAGCCTTGAATGCCAGTTATGTGACACTTAAAGAGACATGTCAATAATCATTGAATAATCACTGAGTAATAGCATAACAAAGAACAGGTAGACCACAACAGCCAAATGAAGACTAAAATTCAGCAGCACGACTGCCCTGCTTTTCTGACTGAATGAGATGAGGAGAGCAGTAACAGCATAGAATAGAGCTGATTAAATCAGCATGAGATGGGTTGCAAAGCAGCTTGCAGATGCACAGTCTTATGATAATGGATCATGTGCCATGTTGTTTATATGTTTGGCTCCTCCCATTAGAGCTAGGGTGTGTGTGTCTTTTTCACTCCATCCTCCAAAGTGTGTGTTTGTGTTGCTTGAGACAGATAAAGACTGCTGACTGGCTGATTTGAATAAGTGCCAGAGGCTGGATTGGATGATTGTATGGATAGACACCTTACCCCTGGTCTTCTCTGCACCTAACCAACAGCCAGCCAGCTGCTAGTAATTTTGAGTATCTGTGTGAGAATACTGGACTAAAACCTTAAATGAATACTGCAAACAGTTCACAATTATTTCAGTGGCTCCCAGTTAATAAACAGTAGGCTGGGTTCCCTATACTGTAAGCAACAGGGAAACCTGAACCAGCTCCAAGTGCACTTTAAATGGGACCTATTATCATCTTACTTTATTTCTGTCTGTGTCTGGCAGTAATGTAGCAATGCAGAGCCATAGAATGTCAATGATATTTTGCAATCTGAAATCATTACGTGTGAAAAAACCAATGGTGATGTGAAATAGACAGGTCCGGAGATTTTTTCTTTTTAAACTTTAAGGCAAACAATTGAAGCAACTGCCAATGAGAGCAGGATACTGGTGATTAGCATATCACCTGGTAGTACATACGTTAGAGGGTTATCTATGCAACTGGAACCTGGAATAACTGCTAGTGACAAACCGTCATCTTCAACGCAATGGGAGATGAGTGACTCACTCCCTGTGTGGACTGTTTTTTCTTATCTCTAATGATCTTGGCTGCAAGATGGTGGCGTGCACGGACGCAGCGGCTCACTGCTCTTCACGTTTTGTGGGTTTTTTAAATCTATCAGTGAGAGCAATCATCTCCATGGGTGTGGGCAAAGAAATCGCCATGCACCCGCTATTCAAATCATTTGTTCTCAAGGAGCAAATAATCAGAAGAACTATAGAATAGGCCCCTTTACACTTTAATATTTTCAGTGTATTTTCTTCACAATGGGAGATCTGAATTCTTAAGACTATGACTTGAGAATAAAGAACCAGCGTTTTTCATGGGGTTAGACCAGTTGGGAAACAATGTATTATGGAGTCAGTATAGTTTGTTATATGTAAAATCACTTGGCAGACTGGCTGAAATCTGACTTCTAACATACTGACTGATATCTGCCTCCCTGGAGAGGTGCTCTGACTGCAGGAACAGCAGTATTGTTGAAGTGTGGCTGAAACTTCCTCACACATTTGCCAATCTGATTCCCTGGTGAGTCGCCCAAATGGACACATACAAACACATGCAGAGGAAATGTTCATCTGCAAATGCTTAAACGCAGACATAAAGTGCACAAACACAATCAAAACACAAAAAGCAAACATAAAGTGTGTGTTAGTGTGTGAGGGTAGCTCCCAGGTCTCATAACAAAAGCAATCCAATGCGCCTCTCTTGTTTACATATCAATAAGGAGCGGACAGAATAGGACGAAGGGCAAACCCCCTCCTCCTTGCCTCCCATGGGTGCAGTGAAAGGAAAAATATCCTGTGAATTAGTGGAAACTGCAGTCAGATTCATTGTTTGGTTGATGTCTCCTCTTATTTAAGGAGAGAAGGTGACGGGCTTTAAGTTGGGAGCAGCTGTGAATACAATTGCTGGGCAAGCTGGACAGCAAGTGAGCCAAGAGGTTTACTGTGGGGTGATGAGAGAACCAGCGATCCCAAAAACCTCTGCTGTCCCCGAAGGATCATTAGTGTAACAGCCTGTGAAAAAGCCAAGTCATAACGGAGCTCCCACGTACAAAAGTGCTTGTCACATCAAGAGTGATTTATACCGGAGCTGCTTCCTACCACACTGCGTTGTGCGGTCATACACTTTGGGTTTAAAGACTTCACTTCAGCTGCATCTTTGCTCAGCTTTTTAGTGTCAGTTTTATTATTTCTTATTTTGCCTTTTATATAATGCATTTTGCACCCCCCTAAGACACTGTCTTTTTATATATGCTCTTACTTATCTCTTTTCAGTTGCTGAGCTGGACTACACTACATTAAATATGTTTATCTATAATATAATGAACTCTTTGCAAGAATACTTTATGGGTTATCAAATAAACATAAGTTTATTTGAAATCCTCAAAATCAGGTTTTGGAACTGTTTGATATGTTTTAACCCACAGATTGACATATCTGGCATTAATTACCTGTTTATTGTTGACAACAACTGTTTTTTCTTGATAAATGGCTGGTACCACTTTTGTCTTACGGCCTCATATTTTAGACACAGCGCAGGTCTAACAGGAACAAATACTTTCAGACACCTACCAGCTGTGGGGGGCCATGGGAAAGTAAAGAAACTCTGTGAGGCATTCAGGTGTCAGCTGGAAGGATTATTTCCTCCAGGATGAGATAGGAAGAGGCGTCTGACACGAAACAAGCCAATCTGTGAATTCAGGCAACAGGTGTCTGGCTGTGGTGAAGCCTCCAGTTAAACCAAACTGTGATGGTGCAGTACAGAAAAGCAGTCCTGGCATCATGAACTCCACTCCCCGAGCTTTGTGTTAGGAGCAATGTGAAAATTCACAGATGACATTTTGCTGGGGTTTTTTGTGTGTATATGTAGCCTCCTTTGACTTTGTGACCATGCCAGCTTTTCACGATGGAGCATAAAAGAAATCTCTTTGATGTTTGTGGGAAAGCTGAGATTGGCTGAGACTGGGCTTTACTGGAGATCTAAAGGCCAGATATCAAGTCAACACTGGCTGTTTTTTTATGCTCTGGCTCTAGCTGAGACCCCTAAATCTCTGCTGTTGGTTTCTCAGTAGGTCTTGGTTTTTTTTCTACAACCTGTTTTAGTGTGAAGATCTCAGGGCTGAAGATCTCATCTGATTGGATGGCAGGTTTTCATTCTTTAACAGCTTCTCGGACACTAAGCTGATCACATGAACACAGTTCTAGAGCCATGACACGCCGGCTCACATTACTCTTGGCGATAGAAACTTCTGTGTTGTCCATTTGTGAACGATCCGTGCAATGAGACACAATGAGACTTACAATGAGACACTTATACTGTCCTTTCCTAGGCTAAGGCTTAACCCATCCCGTTTACTGGAAAGAATTTAACAGGCGACAGCTGGAGCCCTATGGGGCATGATCCCTTCCTAAATCATTAGTAATAATAGCCCTTTTTATACAAGCATTTCACTTCATGCTTTCTCTTGCCGTTTCCAGGAAAGCCTGAAATTCGTCTTTGCTATTCTTTGGTCTGTTATTCCGGTTCAAAATGAACGATAATCTCTGAGGTCGAAGGTTCACTTAAACATGCCTTCAGTCATCTTAGACACACACACTGTCACAAAATGTGTTAATACCTTTAAAGTGAACTAAACCATGACCAACCGCATATAAGCTTCCATTACCGTAGGACCAGGTGACACATAAAAAACCCCTTTAAAAAGCAAAATGGCCCTACACATCCCATAAAACTACAGATGAAATTACAGCAGTCACATTTGGCTGTAACAATTTGCTACAAACTGAAACTGATGACTGCATTTTTCAAAACTGTAATTCAGCCATGTTTGTTTTTTGATGTGCACGTGAAGTAAAACGTGATTTAATTAACTAAACAGAGATGTGGCATCACCCACTGGTCAGTCAAAAATCTACACCCCTACTAACTGTTCACACAGGGTAGAAAATTAAAAAAGCAAAGCAATGTGTCGACAAGAGAACAGAGAATGTCAGTGTAACTCAAAAGGCAAAATAACATGAAGTAGGCAAATCTTGGCACGTGAAGTGGACAGATCGTCTTTTTTTCCCCTCATACTGGATGCTACAGAAACACTAACGAAGAAAGAAAAATAATAAAGGAATTAAAAAACCAAGAAAAAACCTACTGTCTCTCAGAGGAACTCAGTGGAAGTTCGCCAACAAAATACGCAGTGATAACAGCTACACTGGGAGGTCCGTCTACTTGATGGATGAAGTAGGAATAGGAACTAGTAATTTTGGATCATCAGGCTAATTTCAGAGTTGCATCTGCTCATGCTGTTGGTGTGTAATGAAGCCTGAGCTCCCTTGAGACCCATCAAGTGATGACCTGAACGCAGGTCAATGACCAAAGAAAGGGAAAATGAAAGATGAGACAGTGCAGACTGTGTGTGTGTGTGTGCGTGTGTGTTTTTAAAAGTGTGACAGAAAAACAAAGACAGATAAAAGGATATTCTGCCACTAAGATTTGACATGGAGGTCTTATTCCATTAGAGTTGGTGTTTTGTTCAGGTATTCGTGTGTATTTAGCAAGCTTATTATTATCTCCTGACTGAACCTGCAGGAGCGTTTCAGGATAACAGATAACATCATTACACTTCTTGCCCTTAAACCGCCTCCCTAAAGCAAACAACACACAAAGAGACAGGGCACACATTCCCTGTGTGAAAGGACCTGTTTGTTTGTTTTGAACCACCAGAAAAACACGCCACGTTTAGTCTCAAAGAACATTTGCTAGAACCATTTCCCAACCGATTATGCAATTGGAGAAGTTGCAGGAAAGTAAGAGCAACAGTTTCTGTTTAGTTTCAGCTGGCAGGACAAGAAGAGGTTAAACTTACTTAATTTACTTTCTCTCTTAAAGGAGAAAAAATGGTATCATTTTAACAGCAACTGCAATGAAACCCAAGCCGTGAGACTGTTATCCAAGTGCACTATGAGAGTGGATCAGAGGATCAGTAAGTTCACATCGTCGGAAACCACGCTGGGTAGTTTATGCGGTCAGCACTGTTACTTCAGACAGGACTGAATTATTCTGGCTGCAACATGAAAACTTTGCTAAGACAGCAAAACACTCGCCAAAAAGTTTTTTTCCCTTTCTCTCGCCTGTGCTTTACATTGAAGATCTTCATCTTTTTGCAGGGAAGTGAAGCAAAACTGTCCATCCCATTCAGTAATATCATCCATAAAAACACTGACTTACAATGTGAAATAGTTTGAATGTCATTTTGCAGTGAACCACAGTGTAACTGCACTGGCACTTCGGTGAGATGTCCTAAATGAAATTATATAATCTCAGCTGCACACATTGTGGACAAAGTCATTTTAATAACCTGTAGCGTAATGCATGGATAGCATAATGTCTGCATGGGTAAGTCAGAGCAGTCACAACAATGTAGAGGGTAAGTGGATAGCCACATTTCACTTTCTGATGATGACATTTACTTGGACCCAGGCAGACCCTCAAATACTCTCAAATGCAGGAAGTATAACACTAAGGCCATGTGGACTGGTAGAAAAAAAGTGCATTTAACCTTAATGATTACATTGTACAGCTTCCCTCTGTTCAAATATGATCCTCTTGTTCAGGTGATATAATATATGAGCTATAAAATGTCATTTATCAAGAGTCTAATGGGCCGGATTAGTCAGTAGAAATGTCACTGTAACTCAAACCAGTCCCTTGCCTTTGACTTATGACCTGGATGACATTTTATATACATTTAACAACTTCTTAAGGCTTTTATAATTGAGATACATCAATTTTAGCAATTTTAAAGGGCCACAGACAGCGTGGTGAAAGACATGTGTGTGGAGGTGTTGTATAATTTAAAACACCTCCAGGCTTTCACTGTAAAGTGGTGCGTGTGTGTACGTGTATGTGTGTGTGTATCACTTTCGTGCAATAAGTGGAATAAAACCTGACGGAGGTGAGGTGAGCCAGAGCATCCTAAAGGCTTTGCTTCTGCTACTGTGCGTGAGTCAGAGGTTGCAGCTGGATCCTGCAGATCACACTGTGGATTTTCCATTTCCTTTCTTCTCATGTCTGTCTGAAACTTTAGCTTTTTACTATTGTGGAGAAATCTTTTTTTCTTCTAAGAGGTTTGTGGAAGCATGGGTATGCATAATGGCAATACCATGCATGTGATAGTGAGGCACTGGAATGTTTATTTTTCTCCATTTCGCCTGCTGCTGTTCATCATGTGATTTAATGCGGCCCAGGATATGAGAAGCCTCAAGACCTAAACTCAGAAACGTAAATTAGGAACCAAAAGGTTTACATGACATATTCATGTTTACATTTTCATGATTTTTTTGAAAAAAACCACAGAGCTTTAAACAGTGGCTTTTTTCTATTATGTTGAATTGACGTTTGAACTGATGTACAAAAACAAGGAAGGAGAGGTGGCCATCTCCAAAGTATCATCATCTCTAGACTGAAATTTGGTTTTCCACTGGTTTGAAAAATACAAACTTGCATTTCTTCATCTACTTAAATATAGTTTCACTGACAACTCTCCTTTTAATGTTTAAATCCGAATTGTACTTACCACATGGAAGGTCTCAGTATTCTGACCAATGGAGACAAGCATCATGGGTTGAAGGCCGGACTTGAGGAAAAAACCGTGAGCCGACACTGTGCAGCCTCCGCTACAGTGAGGTGGGAGAGAAAGGATATTAGCATTAGCATCAGAAGGGGAAACAGTAGAATCCTACAGGGAGTGACCAGCTGTTAGCGTTAGCAGTTTAGCCACTCATCACCTCCCACTCATTTCCTACTGCTGTAAAAACTAAAGCATTAATCGGCAGTTGAAACGCCAACTCACTCTTTCGTACTTCATCTTGGGTCAAGAAATATATGTCTCAGCTTATATTCAGAGGAAATTTGCTGAGACTGCAAACTGATATCCAAAATAAATACAATTCCACTTACAAAAAAAGGTGGGATGCTCGGTAAAATTTAAATAATAACAGGATGCACTGATTTACAAATCCCAAACATATTTTATTCACAATAGAAGATAGAAAAGGAGAAAACGTGAGAGGAATGTTTTACCATTTCTGTCAGATTGAGGATTCTAGCTGTCCTGTGTTTGCTTTGTTGTACTTTTTGTTTTATTAATTCTCCAAATGTTTTCAGTAGGGGAAGGGTTTGGACTGCAGGTAGACTGTTTCCATACCCATACTCTTCTGCTATGAAGCCATACTGTTCAAATAGATGCAGTATACATTTTACTGTTGTCTTGCTGAAATAAGCAAGATGTTCCCTGAAAAAAACATTGTCTAAATGGGAGCATGAATTGCTCTAAAACCTGTATATACCTTTCAGCATTGGTTGGTGCCTTACCAGATGTGCATGCTGCCAATTCAGTAGGCAGCTGCTCCACCTAATTATAATTAATTAGGAATTATAACAATCCTCTTGGTCTGGCCCATGTTTCCAAAAGGAATTTGAAATTTTGATTCATGTGACCACAGAATTTTTTTTCCACTTTGCCTCAGTCCATTTTAAATGAGCTTTGGCCCAAGATAGCAGCCTTTCTGGATCATGTTCATATATGGCTTCTTCTCTGTATCACTGTGTCGCTATCACGACATGGTGGTGAACTTTGTTCACAGACAGTGTTTTCTGTAAGTGTTCCTGAGCCCATGCAGTGACACCACTGCATCACTTATCACAATTGAAGGTGTAGTATTTTGCAGATGGGTGAAACCCTGCCCGTCTACACTTCTAAGAAACTCTTCCAAGCTCTAAGATGCTCTTTTATACCCAATTATGATAATGACCTATTGCCAACAGACCTAATTAGATGCCAAATTATTGTATTGTATTACTATAGAGTATTTATCTTACAATACAAAGCCCCTTGAGGTGACTGTCGTTGTGATTTTAAGCTATATGAATAAAACTGACAACTGCAGTTGTTTCTTTTTAGCACCACTTACATTTCCAGCCTTTTGTTGCTCCCATTGCAACCTTTCTAAGACATGTTGCTGCCCTCGAATTCAAAGTGAGCTAATATTTTTTGTGAAATAGTAAAATGCCTCAGTTTAAACAGCTGAAATATTTTCTATGCCCTACTGTGAATAAAATATGGATTTATGAGATTTGTAAATCATTGCTTCCCAACTTTTTTTTTTTTTTTTTTAAAGAAATGGGCTTAAATATGTAGTAAGCAGTTCAACTCTGGCCATCACACAGATGTGGCTATAAATGATATCAGAATTCATTATGAATCATTTGAATGACTGTTTTAGATATGAAAAAGGTTTTTTGTTGAAAAGTTCGTCAGAGCCTAGGAAGAGTAGCTACAGCTATCGCAGGGGCCAATGGGGATCTTAATAAACTAAACTCTAACCTCACAAAGGAGCGTGAGGGCTGGATGTTGTTGATGATCGGGTCTTGGTTGTAGGTGAACTGCATAGGGGCGCGGCGCTCCACCGAATCCACTGTCAGCTTCACAGTTTGGCTTGAGAGAACCGCATATGGTGGCGTCTTACAAGTCACCATGATGGATGACCAGCTGATGGTGGTGATAAAGATGAGGTCAGGGTGAGTGAGTAAAAACAAATGATGTATTGGGTTTTTTTAGTATGTACAATGGTAAGCATTGTCCAAGAGGCTATTCATGCATTTTTCTCATCGGTCCTGCAGGTAATTCTGCTTGTAGAGCAGAAAAAAGTATAGAATGAGGACAAGAGCAAGAAAAACAAGAGATAATGAAAAAAGATCATTTAATTTTATTAGCCTTTCTGCAAAGGCTATTGCTAGGCAAAAAAAAAGTCTCCCTAAAATGAAAGTAATGCTAAGGCACAATAAACACTTGTATATTCTTTTCTGATGACATGAAAAAAAAACCTCCCCAAAAGCCCACAACTAAAAAACCTAACTTGAAATTATCCATACAGACAATATATCTGTGTAAGCCAAACAGAAAACAAAGGCAGTATTAAGAAAAAAAGAGTGATCGTACCTCTGAACGTTGCAGATTGCATTCCCTATTGTCACCTCTCGCTTGCTTCCCGTATCCAGGTTTGCTCCTGTAATGGTCAGCATGGTGTTTCCTGATTTTGGCCCAAATGTTGGGAAGATGTCACTGATCACAGGGTCCTACAGGTAGAGAAGGAGACAACCACCAACTTTTTTTTAATCTGGTATTGACATTAACATTAACATGTGGTATGATCACTACTGGACTACAAAGTAAAGGTATGAACGTACCCAGGATTTATGAAGAACACATGGAGATTTTAGTGCTCACGATATCAGATTTTCAGATTTATCTAGCTATCAGATCTTCTTCCATGGTGCTGCAATATCAACTGAATGGTGTTATTAATGATGGAGGGTAAACTAAATATTTACAAGAGCTGGGTTTTCTCCATATTTATCATATATCATGTTGAAAGAGGAGCTCTGAGTTTGGGCTCAGGATTTTGACATTGCTACTTTGAAAATTAGGCTTAAAATTTTCCTTTTTGATAAAGCCTATAAGTTAAGCCTGGCTCAGGTGGCCCTGAATCCTCACTTAATTACGCAGCAATAGGCCTAGGCTGCTGGGGGCTTCCCATGTTGCACTGAGCACTACTTTTTCTCAGATCTTTTCACTCACCATGCATATGCGTTATTCATTTCTCTGTGTCCACAGTGTGTTTTTTGTCCTGGCTCCTGCCCCTAAACCCCAAGCAGTTGCAGCAAATAGATGCCCTCCCTGAGCCTGCTGGAGATTTCTTCCTGTTAAAAGAGAGTTTTTCCTTCCCACTGTTGCCAAGTACTCGCTCATAGTCGTCTGATTGTTGGGGGTTTCTTTGTGTTACTGTTGGGTCTCTACCTTACGTATGAATTTATTTATCGTGAATATGAGTAATATTACAATTATATAAATTATTATTTTCAATATATCAAGTACTTGTTCATGTGATCATCAGTGATGGATTTCTGAGGCGGTTTGGAAAACTTGAGAGCAAGTTAACTTTCTAGCAGTGTACAAGAAGTTCAGTTGATATTTTAGGACAGCTTACTTGTCTGACATTTCTCACCCCAGGGAAATTAAGCAGTGATGCACCAGTTCATAAGCGTGCAGTTATTACTACCCATTTGTTTTGCACAAGGCTGTAGCCCAAGATGCATTTTAATAACGGGTATGTATAAAGTTTGTTACCCACTCTATGGCTAAAAAATATATAGTTTTTGAAACTGACTCTAAGAATCGTAGGAACCGAAGAATTACAAATCAATCCTAAACAGTTTTAAACAGCAGCTTTACCATCATCAAGTACACTTGGTAACATGTGATATCACCATGTTCCATTTTTACATGTCAAGAATCAGTTGTAAAGTACTGAGATTTTCAAAACAGTGATACCAAAAAGAAGGAGAAAAGTAGTCTTACCACAAAATTGAAACCCTTGAACTTGGTCACATTTTGGCCACTGGTGACCTTCACAACGTCTCCTGATGGGGTGAGGTTCCCATTAAACACTGGGGAACAGTGCATCTCAGTCCACCTATAGCCAACCCCCCCCAAACAACACATAGATCAGGCATTATACCCTGCCAAGGCAGCCGGCATTTAGCTTAATTCAATGATCATCCACTGCCTTGCAGGAATGCACAAAGACACAATTTTCATGGGATTGTGTGGGCAGTGTTTTTATTTTCCCCCCAATTTGTAATGAGGTTGTTTGTAGCAAAAGGGTTCTTCTGAATGGGACATGGCCCCAGTGGATTTGGGAAAGCGGAAAGTCTGCATTCAGCGATTTTTCCCAGCAATTTTTCAGTTAAGGGAGTCATGTGTTGAATGTTGCAGGCTGCAAAAGAGTTAAGGGTGGGGGTGTTTGGGGCTTCTTAACATTCTTCCTTCAACACAATAACCCCTAATAAATGTGCTCTCCCCCTATAGGACACCAGTGTAGTGGTCCCTTTGTTTCATAAACACTCACCACTTAACATACACTCTGGCTCTCCCTTTTCCTCTAAAAGGTGGCTTTTCAGATACTGTGCAGAACCAGCGCTGTTTGAATACGTCACAGCAGGCCAGTGCAACTTGCACAAAACACATGCACAACATTTATTAACACTCCCATCCCCAAAAAACACTCTTTACCAAAACACAAGCATACCTGTTGGAGTTTTCTTGCCTGGACAGTTTACAGGAAGCCCCTGCCACCTCCACGGTTACCATGGAAGCCTTGAAGTTCTCCGTCTTGTCGAAGCCAAAGTTCTTGCCACAAATCGTCACTACAGTAGAGCCTCGTATTGGTCCAGAGGCTGGACTAACCTAATGCATTCATAAAGAACATATTTTAAACAATCCCTTTGACATTTTTCTTCCCATAAAATTGAGATGTGGACCCTGAACTTAACAGACATGTGCAATACTACAAATATGTTCTGAGATGAGATGTAGAAAGTAAAGAAGTGTGCAGTTGAATTCTGAACTTAATTTTCTCCATTTCTAAAAACTGCTCAATACCAAGCTTTTTCAACTAACTGGTTTCCTTCTTAGAAAAAAACAAAACAAACACACACACACACACACACACACACACACACACACACACACACACTTTGAGCACATGATGCAGAAGAGTAAGTAACAACACTTAGAAGGTAACAACCAGGCAACGACTGCTGTGCAAGAAACATCCACTCAGCTTTTCTGGATTGAGGCCGAGTCTTGTAAAAGACCTTCAAGCACAAAAGGTGCTTTTAGAGGTACATTTAGGGCAATGGAGATCAGCTGCCATTTTTGTGTGTGCGTGCGTTTAAATGAAGGCAGAGTAGCAGCATGGAGTGTAGCATTAAAGTCAGAGAGAATGGAATCCAGCTGAGCCAGCTGAGCTTAGTTGAGTCTGACAATGCCAGAGCAGAGTTTAGTAGTTCAGTGCAGCTGTAAAACGTCTGCCTCTCAGGAAGCACCTTAACCTTCGTAAGTACTACACAAATACAGTGCAAACACGTGCAGATGAAAGGCTCAACAGACAGGTTACATGAACAGTATTTGGCAGGAGAAGAGTAAGAAACAGTCATAAGGTATGAACACAGCATGGTGTGATTGTATGATACATGGTTAAGGAAACACAGCCAGGAGAAGTTACTTAAGTTTGCTTTTTATTTCAGAACCACTGAAGAACATATAGAAGAAACCTAAAAACTGAAATATCAATGAGCTTTAATAGCGCTCATTTTGGATGACCAAATCATGCCTGTGGCTAATGATGAACACGCAAAACATGCACAACCTTTGTGTACTGTGGTTACCTTGGAAATCTCAGGTGTGCAGTAGTCCTGGGTCCAGATGGAGGAGGTGCACTCGTTTGCTCTTGTACAGCGTCCATCACACCAGCCACATTCTGTCACTCTTGACGACAACAAACACGAAATGCATGTGGTCAGCTGACCACAGCCGGGGCCAATTAAAGGGACCTTAGTGATCTAGGTGGGCAGAATTCAGAACAAAAGAACTTAATATAAAAACAAACAAACAAAAAAGGCACAGGCGCATTCCATAATTAGTGGTTTACCTTGTTTCCTGTGGCCATCAGAATGGCTCCATCTGAATGGTCAGCATCGAGCAGTGCTACACTGGCGGTGACAGGTCTCGAGTCCAGGTGGATGTTGACATGGGGAGAGGCAAATCGGGAGAACAACACCTAAAAGAGGGAAACATTACTGCAGTTATCCTAAAGGGGCTTCAGTTCATACCGATGTCTGTCATATACTTACATGCCTGTGACAGAGTAAAAATATAAGTATGAATATTTTATAAAGACGTGCTAAAATAGTATGGGCATATTTGTTGGTACCAATAAAGCAACTATTAATCCTGGCATAATATTCACATTTTAAACAAAGTTTAATTCAATTCAATTTTATCTTTATAGTACCAAATCGCAATAATAGTCACCTCAATGTGTTTTATACTGTAAGGCAAAGACTCTACAATAATAATCTAACAAAGTAACAAAGTATTTAATCTTAACTATCAACACAGGTGTCTTTGAGCTTTTCATCAGCCATTCAGCTTACTTTGGCTGTTGCTTAATCAGGTATCACTGTATGCAACATACTGAACATTAACCAGAGAAAGCAAAGGAGACAGCTGTCTGTGGATCTCCGACAGAAGATTATAGATATTAAAGGTTAAGACCGTCTCCAGAGGTTTTGTGTTCCTGTGACCACGGTTGCCAATTTTCTTACAAAATATAAGCCAACCTTCCAGGATGTGTACAGAAGGAGAATTACAACCCGGGTTCATCAGAAGTGATAGTGTGGATGGTAGAAGAAGAGTAAAGAAAGCCATTCAAAATCTTGTCACTATCTGATCACCCCATCCTCTGCATGTTAAACAATAACGGGTTCCATGGAAGACGAACCAAGCGGGCTCCTCTACTGACGGAAAAATACAAAAAAGTGAAACTGCATGTTGACAAACCCCAAATTCCTTTGGACTGAGGTAAAAGTGGTGATTTTTTTTTCTATCAGCTTTAACAAAGGACACCTAGTGTACCTACTGTGAACATGGAGCGTCAGAAAGCTTAGCCCCAGGTTGTGGGTCCTAAAACAGGATAAGGACCCACAACAGAAAGCTAAAAGCACTCAAGAATGGCTGGAAAATAAACACTGGACTACTTCAATGGCCCTCCATGAGCCAGGATCTTAATCTTCTATTGAACATCCATGGGAACAGCTGAAAATATGCAGTGTGGAGACACTACACTGGGCAAGACACTTTACCCTACTGCCTACTGGAGTTGGCCAGAGGGGCCTCGCTTCTGTCAGTCTGCCCCAGGGCAGCTGTGGCTACAACTGTAGCTGCCTCCACCAGTGTGTGAATGTGAGAGTGAATGAATAGTGGTATTGTAAAGCGCTTTGGGTGCCTTGAAAAGCGCTATATAAATCCAATCCATTATTATTATTATTATTATTATTATTATTATTATTATTATTATTATTATTATTATTATTATTATTATTACGGCGTGTTTGCATTTCTTTAATTGTATCAAATATTTAACTGAATCAGAAATCAAAAATAAAGTCAGATATGTGTTAAATATGGAATAAACAACACGAGATGGCAGTTACAAGTCATTTCAGAGATGGTACCAACCAATTTGTTCACGTCTGTATAACGACAACATCATCATCATAGTCCCAACTCTGGCACTGCTTATATAAGCTGAAACTGACTGCAACATGTATCAGAAGAAGAAGCCACCCGGAGACGATTATCAAACAAAAATGTAGCCATTCAAAATGATCTAGTAACAAGAGTACTACTTTCTAAGAGAAGATAGAAACAGGACTTAAGCGGTTCTCTCTCTTTTTAAAAAAAACAAATGTACAACAATACATTGCGTTAGCACCCAACACACACCTCCCACCACTAGCCAACCCCCATTTTTTAAGCAATCAGCACTCAAGTCAGATCAGGACACCTGATAAGTAGGTGGAGGTGGGGTTATTTTCCTTTGTCACCTCTGTTTTTCATTATTGCTATATTTATTCATAACAGGGGAAACTTGGGAAACATTATATGAACAATAGCAACGCTGGAAGATTGACTTTTTATTGACATGAAGGAAAACGATCCAGAATGTGTCATCTTTCCTGAGGCAATTCTTCATTGGATTTAGGCTCACTTTAAAAGATCTATTGTGCAAAGCAGAGTTGACACACACACCCTGTGTATACTCGAAATTTCCAAAACAGGAACTTCACATGTGTAACCAATGGCAATTATAATCTGTCTTAACCTAATATACCAATGGGAATGGACTCAATATAAATGTTATTAGCTAATTTCAGAAAATCTAAATGGCTGGACAATTATTTATAGCATTTTGCAATATAATTACCAACACAACATGTGTTAAAATAAATGGAATGCCACATTTCCCCAATTGATTGTTTCGGTTGAAAAAAAAAAAAAAAACCCCAGCCCAACAAACACCATTATACATTTTGATATTTTCTCTAAGAGCTACGTGTCTGGAACATTATTTAGTAAACAAAACGGCCGAGTACCCGTTTCACTAAGCCTATGCAAAACACAATATCCACAAAAGAGTCTTAAATTAACTCCAAAGGTTTATCATTAACATGATTTATGTGTATTCAAACACTAACAATGACACAGTAATGAAACTATAGAAATCCGTGAATGGAGTGGGAAGTTTGCTTACAACAGCTGGACTCTGAAAAAACATGGTATCCTCATACTGAAGCTGGCATTTTTTCATCTCCTGAAAAACTTTAGTGACCCTTTGATCTAAATGTCTCAGATTTGTCTTTTAGCCACATTTTGATAGTCTGGCAGTACTTCATGTACCCTGCCTTTGTACCAAGGCACTTTTTTCTACCCTTAACATTCCTCAGGGATTTTGGAGATTTGGCAGATTTGTCGGCAGCACATCCGAGAGACAAATCTTCTGTCCCAGCACATCCCAAAGGTATTCTTTTGGGTTGAGATCTAGTGACGCTAAAGACCACTGTGAGTACAGTGAACTCACTGCCATGTTAAAGTAACCAGTTTGACTAATGTTTGAGCTTTGTCACACAGAAGGAGCCCATCAGAATATCTACATACTTAGGTTGGCAGTGGGCTTTGAAAAATGCTCACTTAGTAATAAGGGGGCCAAAGTCTGCCGCCTTTATACCACCATGAATATCACCAATAACTGGCGATACAAGCAAGATGGATCCATGCTCTCATATTGTTTATGTCAAATCCTGACCCTATCAACCTGATAAGATAAGAGACTTATCAAACAAGGCAACATTTTTTCAGTCTTCTATTATTCATTTTGCTGAACCTGTGTCAACTGTATTCTCAGTTTTGTGTTCTTAGTTCTTAGTTGTTATTAATCTCTGCGTCTCTTCCACAGCATGTCTTTTGTCCCATTTTCCTCTCCTCGCCCCCAACTGCCCTTCGCCGAGGCTGGTTCTGCTGGAGATTTCTTCCTGTAAAAAGTGAGTTTTTCCTTCCCACTGTCGCCAAAACACATATAGGAGGGTCGTCTGATTGTTGGGGTTTTCTCTGTGTTATCGTAGCTTTACCTCACAATATAAAGCACCTTTAGGCAGCTGTTTGCCTGAATTGAAGTGAAATAAATGTAACGGGTTGCTGAAATGTGACTGGCTGATTAGATATGAACATACCATGTACCTAATAAAGTGGCCAGTCAGTGTATGACACCCCACTGCTGTGAATGCACAGTTTTCCAAACTTGGGAAGCGAGGGGATTTTACAGATCCTTCCAGTGCTTTCAGGTGCTGCAGCCATAACCTCCAAAAGGTGATGGATGGTTAGAATGAAAGCTTTTGACAATCAGTTAGCTTGACGCTTGCAATACAATTTACTGTACTTACATGCAATACATGACCACATGTCATCAAATATCAACAGAGCTTCAAGAAATGATCGAAAGCACATCAATTTTCCCCACACACGTGCACACGCACCCAACACCTGGAACACCATTCATCACTTGTGGTTATGCTGCAATTACAGACCTCGCAGCAAGCTGCACAGAACAGGGTCTCTAATAGGGTGTGCGGTTACACCAGTGCCATTAAACCTTTTAAATAATACAATCACCCACCTACACACATTTTTTTCCACATCAACTCTGCAACGCTATTTATACTCAAAAAAGAGAGTTGTGGTATTGGAAACACAACAAATCATGTCCAGCATATCTCCAACACACTGACAGGGCCCTGCAGGAACAAGGGCTGCGTTATAGCTGTCATTTCTGGTTCAGTACAAAAAAAGTTACACAATGCACTATTACACAGTTGCTTTGCATTTACACTGTTGATATCCAGACCTGGTTCAGTTGAAGCGCTCACACAGAAACACTGTTACCTCTATCAATCTGGACCTGACATGTAATGACTGGCTAACCATACTTTGTTGCCTCGTTTGAGTTTGGTAAGAGTCCCTCAATGAGAAGTTACTGCAAAACGAGAAAACAGAAACATGAATAAATCAGTAAATCTTCTGTCCGTTTGTGTGGGTCAGTGTCCCGTAAATCCCTACAGTTCTGTGCATTGTAAATTTTAAATGTGATTTTGTTGGTTGGCTGATACACGGCTTGCCCTCGCCCTCACCCTCAGAAATGTCTGGTTTTCCTGCATCATTCTTCCCACTGTTTGGGCCTCATGATCAACATTAGCTTTGTATCATTGAATATAATAGGTAGCTTTCCTCTGGGGACAAGGCCATACAAGAGGAATCTCTCTGGAGGGAATGGCTGCGTAAATTACAGCTTATTGTATTAAGCAGGCAGGGGGGAAATTTGGCCTATAAACACAGCTACTGTGTTATTCCCACAGTGGCCTAACTGAAGTCGAGGGAAACACTTCCTGAGCCAGAATGGAGTCCATCGGGGTGAACAACACTCTTTTTCTTTCACTGCCTCTACCCTATGCTCCCTCTCACCTTGTCCATTGGGAACAACCAGGAAACTGAAATACATGAAAAGTTGACATATTCTTTCTACCGCACTAACAATGAAATGAACTGCTATAGCAAAGACGACCACCTCTCACAGCTTCTTGTCTTGTTGTTGCATAGCTTGGGCTGAGACTGACCAGGTGGCCAGAAGGTCATTAGTTCAAATGTACGCCTTCCCAGTTTAGGACAAGAAAAGCTAATGAGCCAATGAGCCAACAAAATTTTCATGGTAAACACAAAGTGGTTAGAATAGATAAACGGTGAAGTGGGACTACAGTGGTTTGGTTCCAGGTGGAGACACAACCTTTTGTGGTTTTGTTAGGAATAACATCTGAGATACCTGATTTTATGACCCCTTGTGACAAAGGAGCAACTGAAATAGCTTTGAAGTAGTTTGTGTCAAAATCAAGTGCATCTAAAATTCACAAGCAATGTTTGCACCCATACATTTCCCACCTTTGTGACTAGAAAACCAGAGTTTCCCTCAATGTTTTATAGGGAAGGTGCTTCTTCTGCTAAAAAATTGATTGATGGAAATTTTTAACCCACAGCAAGCAAGACTGTTGCACTCCACGGGTTAAAAGTAGGTAAAAGCATGAATGAGAGAAGATCAATCCAAAAAGCAAAAGGTTTACTCATCATTTTTTTATGATCTTACAATATCTTCCTAATGATTTTCACTAAGTTTTCTTTGTTCACTTGGATTTCATGCCTTGGAAATATCTTTTAACCACTATTCCTGATCAGCGTCTTTCCCTCCTGACTGTTGACTTTAATGTCCCTCTTTGGTCCGTTTTTAGAAAAAGATATTTGTACGCAATAACAAATGAAATGGCGAGCTTTGCAGTGCAATACAGCTGGTCTCCTCTTCAGACTTGTAGCTAAAACAATGAACCACATCCAATTCAGGCAGCCACAAAAACGCAAAAACAGAACTGAAGGAGGGGCTGGAGTGGTGGTGTTTGACGGTACAGAAACGCATAGCAACAGCTGCACGGGACGCTCAGGGAGTAGAAATGTGGCGTGTGAGAGAACGTGTCAGTGAAACTCGCCGTTCACCATCAACGTGTCGTTCGACTTGTAAACCCCCCTCACGCCCCACTACCATCGTCTCTACCCTTCCTCCATCCTGCGCTGCCTTTCCGTGCAGCTGTCAGCCCTTTTCTCCACATCTTTCTTGCTGTTCTTTTCCATGCGTCTTCTCATTCTTGTGTTTCAAAAACACGTGAGGTAATTTAGTGTTTACTTTATGCATTTCATTCCATTTGCCACAGTTTTTTGTTTTTATTATTTTTTACAGACACACCAATGCACCACTTGCTGCACTTGCTGTATTTTCAGCTGCAACCCTTGCATGCATAGTTTTATTGTCCGAGTAAATGACTTCAGCACCACAAGAAAACTGAAAGTAGCTGCAGATGGTGAGTCACAGTCCAAGATGCAGCTACACAGGCTTGTCATATTGACTTAATTAAACTGAAAGCCAAAATGTTATGTTTTACCTTGATAATCCGCCCTTGCATGACTCTAATTAGCTAAAGTACCTCTTACAGGCTAAATATTCATTTGAACTTCAGGTGCATTGGAATTAAATACTAAATGACTGCATGTGGTATTTATTAGTCTTAAATGTGATTCCTTTTAAACTTGTGTTTTTGTACTTTTCTATCAAGGCTTAAAGTTACGTTGTATGCATTGTGTATGCATTACCAGAGTAGCGACCTCTTTGAGGTGTGTAGCCACAAAAGTACTGTTAATTTTTTGTGTTTTTATTGCTGCTAGCTGTGCTTATAAGGTATGATTTTGAAAGTATATTTAACATAATTCTCTGAATTCTCAGAGAAAGTTTTAGCTTCTAGTTTGTTAGATCACAGTCTAGTATTAATTTATTGATATTTCATATTTTACTAATTTTCCGTAATATGTGTAACATGGAGATTGTGGAAACTACTTGCTAACCAGTGTAGCTAGCATTAGCTGATAGTTTAGCCCTGCTGTTCAAATATGGCCATTTCTGTCTTAAAAACATCTGGCTCTATAATTCAAATCACACATCCTTTAAGAAAATTAAATTAATAAACTGAGGACCTTGAAATTCTGCCTTTCTTTTATAAAGTCATCCAATAACATCCTTAAAAAGAATGACCAGAGGCGTGGAATCTACTGCTGGTCTGAGCACTAATAGCCTAAATAGGGACGGTATTTGCTCAGATGACTAGTTAGAACATAGAGTTCTTTGAAAGCTCACTGAGAATAGTTCAAAGGTAAGCAAACTGTGAAAAACTGGAAGATTCTGGAGCTTGCTGATAGTTTCCCCTAACCTGCTTCTAGTTAAGACACCTGGACTTGTTTTCTCTACTGTGTCTCCTGCAGGACACTTTCACCCGACATCGATCAACATCCTGGCACATTTACATGAACAGTGAGATAGGGAAACTGCTTTAAGATTATAAATGCAGGCCTGTAGAATACATTGCATGCATTTGACAGGCAAATTAAGACACTGATGGTGACTTGTTTACCTGTATTTGACGTCCATCAGCAGTTCCTAGGTATACCACAGCACGACCGTGGACTGGCACCACAGTAATTGAGGTCACCAAGGTGTTTGTCAAGTCTTTGTGCCAGTATTCTAACCTCTGGTATAACTGGGTCACCTGTAGGCGATATGTGCTCTCTTTTCCTTCGTGGATTCCTTCATGGGGGTCGCAGTCATCTGATGAAGTCTGCAAAGAAACCACAGGAGTCAGTGGGAGAAAATTTCCTCTAGCGTGCCACAATAATAATAATATACATGGACATAATAGTGGAGAAAGTACTTTTTGTTGTGGTTAGAGACATGATACTGATAGGATATATGATGTAGCCAAGAAATGTCAAATACCAGTGTGGTCATGTTCAACAATGAAAAACATCCGATATGGAACATATAATTAAAATCAGTAAACTTGGATAAGAATGAAAAATATGGCATAACCATAAAAATCTGATTACCAGAAAAATAAAACAATATACTTTTAAGCGAGATCTGATCTCTTTGTCCAAACAGATTCTAAAAAACGACTTGTTATATAATATCATGTTGAGCTATCTTATTTCATTTCTGTTCAGTTGGGGGAGGGTCAGGAGCCAAAACCTCCTAAGCCCACTCTTAGCTACTCTTTCATCAAACCGAGCTCGTAATGGAGGTCTCAGTGTGATAGTACCTCTAGGGCAAGTACATGCTTTGTTGAACAGAGGTTTGAGGACTGGAAGATTTCATGGGAAACAGCGAGGAGATATTCATGCTGTTTTTCCTTCCATGTGCAGTTTTTTCTCCCTCCAACTGGGAAACCCCACTTTTTCTCGCTTTCTCCACCCTCCTCCTGTTTTTCTTTGTCCTCGTGAGTTTAGAACCAAAATCTGTTACTCTCTTAGTTTGCAAATGCTGCTGGGTTGTTCACATTGTTGTGTCTGGAGCCTCTGGAGCATACAGTGAAAGCACGGACTGAAGCCAGAGTTGGATTCAGGGTCTTTTCTCTTTCAATAACCACCCCCCTCCTCTTACTGCCCAGCGCTGCTCTCACTGTTCGGACTCTTGTGTTTAGTCATGGCCTTCTGTCCTAGCCTCGGGTTTCATTAATTATTAATGACCCAGAGAGCGGCGGGCCTCTTGTGGCTCTTAAGGTCCTTGACCTGGCTGCTTGACCAGACCTCTACTTTCTGTTGTCTTCTCAACTTCAGTGGTTGACAACCTTTTCTTTGTAGTCACAAAAATGGGCAGGCCGTACAAGCAGAATGATTGCTGAAACTTGTAGACAGTCTCAGTGCCTCGGTGTGTACAGCCCTAACAGTTAACGTCTACCACTTAATGCCACACAGAAATGTTCATGACTTTGGTAGTGACCATTTATTGTGCACAAAAGGGCAAAAATTTAATTGGCTGCCTCCAAAACTGCTAATCACTTACAGGCTCATTATCCTTTTCTGGTTCTATCTAAAGTAAGCTTGGGTTGTTATTTGCGGTGTGTGTGTAATATGCTGCATCATTTGTTTAGTGTCAAGCTTTGAAACTCGGGAGAACAATGGTGAAGTAATAAATCTGAAGGTTTTTTGTTCAATTTCAGTGATGTTACTTAAACAGAGATAAACAGGACCTCACGGAGAGGAAGGCAAGGAAAGCAGAAAAACCTGGCTGACTTACAAGCATGCTGCAACAAACCTTGGTTAAATTAAATATCCTCAAGGCCAGTGGTTGCAATTACAGAGACAATGGCTAAGTCAAAACCAGCAAAAATGTGGAGGAAATTTAAAGCTGGCAGAAAGATTGGCTGTTTTTTTTTTTGTTAAGTCCACAGCTGGCAGGTGATGAAGTCAGCTGATATGGATGGAATTGCGAGGCTTTAAAGAGGAACATTTTTTCAGAAATGACACTTTGCGACTGAAATTGATTTAGACTTGGATAAGTACATGGACACGTAGGACAGACACACAGGACACTGTAAGGGCTGAGGCAAGAGAAACACCTCTTCTTCAAACAAGATACAAACCAGTTTTTTTTATCTGTTGATGTGTATGTGTAAGAACACCTTCACAAAGTCTACCCTTCTCATACATTTGATCACAACTCCAAGCAGAACATCAATATCACTGAGCACATATGAATCGGCCAAAACTCTACCGACTTTCCTAAAACTACAGCAGATGGAGATGTCACGATCACTACAGAGATTACACCCTGCAGCTCAAAAAACAGGCCCCAGGCTGATTATTTTCAGAGCAAACAAACAGGACTTTAGGTGTTTGTTGAAATGGAATAGGACGTTGGGTGATAGAGCAGAAAGGGTCTAGGAGGCATCCCTGTGCTAAATTATTTTGAAAGATCAAAGCAATGAAATTGGACAGTCGAAAAGACTGTTTTGACAAGCTTCGTTTGAAGCACCGCTGCTGTTATCCTTGGCTGTTTCTTGGCACAGAGACAGAGAGTTTGCCACAGAGTCAAACAGGTTCTGCAAAAGGGTGACGTTTCCCTTAAAGTCTGATAGAGACTTAAATTAAATATTTTTATTCAGTAACTGCCAGTTAGAAGAAGTGCAATTTCAACAACTGACAGTCAAAAAAAAAGAGGAACCTCAGAGGAACTCTGCAAAGAGCACCTCACTATTTCCACAATCAAACGTCAGTATTAATAAAAGTGTTATTAATCAATGACCTTAGTAATACTAAGTTCAAACCAACATTTTCACATTTTTCTTACATTCATCTTTTAGAAGATTTATGGTGTTGGCAAGATGTTCTACATCTTTCAAGCCATTTTGTGAACATGTCTTCCAGTCGTGTAACAGGCACCACGGGGCACATACATGAGATACTGTACACCTTTTGCTCTGTACTTAACCAGCAGTTATTGTCCCCAAAACAACGGTCCTGCGATAGGGTTTCGGCGTTGTGGAGCTCCAAAAAGCCTGGGGCACTGCTCAGGAGAGTCAAGAGAAGGGTGAAAGGTGATCCACATAGGCTTCAATGTCACTTTCATATTCTCGCTGTTGCTCCTGGGTCCAGTGTGAAGAGATACACTAATACCTGAATTATAAAGCATGGACTGGGTTACAGCCAGCAGAGGCTTTCGGTATGACAGTGTGTTCAGTGCCAATCCAGGGGAAAATGATTAAAAAAAGGTTAAAAGGTACTTTTGCTAATATAAAAAAATGTAACGCTTGTTGTGGGGGTATAACACTGTGTTAGCAAACTTGCACTCATGAAATTCAGGAGGTCTGTGTCACTGCTGGCCTCTCAGCTGGCACTCTCCCTCAAATAACCTTTGACCTCTTGATCGCGTGTGCGATTGCACACTCCAGACAGCAGGGAGGTTTGGCTGTCGTTGGGGTGTGTGTGAATGCAGTTTTTCGAGAAATAGAAAGCAAATGCAATGTGCGCACATATGGGCCCAGAATGTCTGTGTACATGTGTGTGTATGTTTGCAGCACGGTATTGTTGCACTTATGTTGGGACACACATTACTGTACCCCACCTGGAGTCAGTATGCACGATACTCTGCAACCTGATCTCAACAGCTGTAACAACCATGATGTATATGTGTGTGTGTGTGTGTGTGTGTGTGTGTGTGTGTGTGTGTGTGTGTGTGTGTGTGTGTGTGTGTATAAAATGCACAGGTGGCTGGTACCAATATACAGTCTGAAAGTGTGTGTTGTAGAGAAAAACATCTGCACACATAAACAGGTCCAACAGAAGACAGGGAGAATAATATGTGATGATTGTAGTGAAATGTGACCACGTCTTCTAAAAATGTGAGGCATATGTGTATTTGTCAATAACCAAATACTTAAACCACACAAGTATGGCATATTTGAGTTTTATTAATCTGAACAACCACTGCATATTTGTAGAGCTTGTGGTTATGTAGTACTCAGAATTCTTGAGCTTCCCCCATGTGCTTTGAATCAGTGTTAAACAAAAAAAAAACAAAAAACGTTGTTATTGTTTAATTATATATGGATAACCAAATAAAACAAACAGCAATACATTTTTCAATCAACTTCAAAATCAATTACACTGAGTTAGGAAGATGTCAATAAGCACTTATTCTAAACTTAACCATCTTGCAGTTGTGCCATACATGCTATAAAAGTTTAATTTTAGTTTAACAGCTGTTGCTAATTGTTATATTTTTGCAGAATTTCAATGAATAGTAAGATCAATTTGAATCTCAACTCAATGCTTTTCTAATTATCAACTTGTCTAAACACTTTGAAGAAGAATAACTTTGCCTCAGCAAACTTCCCAAACCATTTTAGTCACTTTTTTCACTTGAAACAATTACTAAAGTTGTTAATGATACTCTAATTCCTTCTCTGTGTATGGAGTATCTCTGCCCCCTGTTCTTCTTATATTTCTTTATATATTACTATACTAGTAATACTTTAATACTTTACTGTGTCTCTCAGCACAGTCTCAAGAGCATGGAGGAGATTCCAGGAGACAGATAGTTACTGTAGTGGAGCTGGACAGGGCTATAGAAGGTCCTTAACCCATCAGTAGGATTGATGTTTTGTGCAAGGAGGAATAGGATGAGCAGAGCCCAACAAAATGACCTCCCGCTGGCCACTGGTGTGACTGAAGATACTTCATGAGGGTGGTCTGAGGGCCCGACGTCCTCTAGTGGGCTCTGTGCTCACTGTGGAGCCCGAGTGGCTTTTGCAACAGAATGCCAGAATTGGCAGGTCAACTACTCTTGCCCTGTGCTTCGCTAATGAAAGCAGGCTAGCCCTGTGCACATGTGATAGATGTTAAAGCGTCTTTACGGCGCCTTTAAAATCGTTCACCATGACTGGTGATGGGTAAGTGATAGTCTGGGTCGTCTTCAGCCGAGGACCCAGGCTATCACTGGGACTTTTTCATGTAGAGGCACACAGACCTCTACAGGCGGGAAACAGCCATTAGGTATTGGGATGAAATCCTTGGACCCATTGTAAGACCCTACATTGGAGCAGTGCGTCCTGGGTGCCTCCAGGTGTACAACAGTGATTGATGTGCGCAAGTATGCAGGCAGTTCCTGGAGGATGAAGGAAGTGACACCACTGATTGGCCCCCCGAGCTCCCCTGACCTAAATTCAACAGAACACCTCTGGGACATTAAGTTTTGATCCATCCAACACCACCAGGTTGCACTTCAGACCATCCTGGAGCTCAGTGATGCCATGGTCCAGATGTGAGAGGTAATCCTAAG